TGGGAGCAAAGTGCCTTATTTGCTTATTTTTTATTAAAATATTTCTATACCACAAATATTTCTATACCTACTACAGCAGTCCTGAGGCAGCATAGCATCTATATCATCATCACCATAGAACTGTAGAGTTGGAAGGGATACCAAGGATCATCTAGTCCAACCCCCTGCAATGCAGGAGTCACAACTAAAGAATCCCTGACAGATGACCATCTGTCCTCTGCTTAAAAACCTCCAATGAAGGGGAGTACACAACCTCCCAAGTAAGTTCATGCCATTGTCAAACAGCTCTTACTAGAATACAGCTGGAAAGAACAGATGTATTTTTCTTCTATCTGCCTATCTGAGCTCTGGCCTTGTGGCTTCTAATGCCAGAAGTGAGCCTGGCTGGGAAAAATGTATGGGGATGGGCTGCTGGAAAAACGGGAAGAGTACAGCACAGATACCAGCTTGTCCTTTTAAAGTGCAGCCTCACCTTACTGAGTGGGTAGACATGTGTTCAAAGATCTAAAGCTAGGCAGTCATCAGGAAAATCATCAACTGCAAAGTCAACGGCCACGCTGTGAAAGCCTTTGTGGACTCAGGGGCACAGATGACCATCATGAGCCAAGCATGCGCAGAGAGGTGCAACATCATGCGGCTGGTGGACCAGAGGTGGGCAGGCATTGCCAAAGGCGTGGGGACCCAGAAGATCATTGGCACGGTCCACCTGGCTCAGGTCCAGATTGAAGGAGATTTCCTGCCTTGTTCGTTCTCTATCCTGGAGGAGCAGCCCATGGAACGTGCTGGTGATTGGCACTACCGGCTCCCAGACGACCTTCCTGCCGGAGGGGGAGCTCCCCGAGTGCGCAAGGTTGGCCTACGGGGCGCGGCGAGAGGACGTGTGGCCCGAGGAGATTGCAGACCAGGAGCTGGCAGAAGCCATACAGAAGTCCGTCGACGAAGCAGTTGCCCGAGACATCCAAGTCAGAAGACAGGAGGAGAGGAGACTGCGGAGGGAGCGTCGCCTGTCTTCAGGAGCCTCTGCCCGCCACAGGACCTCCCAGTGCGTCATCTTCTAACGCCTGGCACTCCCCTCACCCAGGCCTTACATCTTGGATAAAACAGCGTGCCAGGGGAATTGCTTTGTACTCCAGTCCTGACATTAAAAGCTTCCCGTTCCAAACAAAACAAAACAAAAAACTTTTGTTAATAACCTTAGTCACTATTCCAAAGCAACCTTGAAAGCTATTGTTTTGATTGATGAGGTACAACAGCTCAGCTCAGGCCCAGTGCATGGTCTGCTCTAGAAATGTACTGCTCTATCTGACCAAATTGTCAGAGTAAGGAGTAAATTACAGAACTCCATTCTCCTCACCACAGTTGTGACCATTATTTCTCCTACATGTTGCTCAGTCCCTTTATTCTTGCTGGTCCTCCATTGTTTTTAAATTAATTCTTACACCACTTAAAATGCACTGAATAAATAGGGACACATTTAAAAAAGTACTAGCAGTGCCTTTTTTGATTCACATGCACCAATTTTAAACAGCACCATGAGAGACACCGCCCCATACAGTGATAGCATTCTGTTTTGCTGCACTTTATGTGGCAGTCCAGAGTTCAAATCTCACCCCAGTCATGGTTGCCATCCATCTGTCTCGGGAGACAATGGAAGAGTGCGCCATCCGGGGTAAAGTCAAACTGTTGGCGAATTACAGCGTTGTAGAGGCTGTAGAGACCAACATGGGAGAGACATGTTATATTGCAGCTGGGGCAAATGAAGCCATGCTATTAGACAATCTTCTATCACTCAACCTGAGGACCTCATCTGCCATTTGGAAATAATAATGCTAGCCTACCTTACCAAGATAATGCGAGGCATTTCAAATGCTTAAATAGAGTTTTATAACTATTAAATAATAAATCAGATAGCAGGTAATGCTGGGGAGATCCACCCCCATGACCTGGATAAGTGACCAATAAGACACTAGTTTTTGACCTCACAGATGAATAGGGAACACCCCCCCGCAACATCTGGGGGGCAACGGTTCCCCACAGCAGGCCTAACTTACGTCACAAGCGTGAGAGCCTGTGAGGGTGTTGCCCCATGCACAACTCAATGTGCCAGATTCAGGGGTGGGTGTGTGACTGCACATAGTGGGGAGTGCGACAACACTGACCAGTAAATAAATACTGTATAAAACAAATGTATCTGCCTCCCAAAGCTAAACCGAAAGCATTTTTTCTTGGCCTCATAACTTCCTCACTTCCCTTGTTCTTCATTCCATGTCTGAAATCTTTGGCCCGCCCCCCAAAACAAACCCACACATTTTCTCTCCAAAACCCTCCTCAGATTTATGGAGGGGGAGGGAAGGAAGATAAATAGCATTTTTCTTTGTTTCGGGGTTCGTAATAACGCTTTTTCTTTATCGCCACGACTAGTCTTGCCTGAGAGACTCGCCGCATCCCCAAGGCAGGAGCGAAGCGACCTGCAGCCCGCGGAAGCCGACGCCACGGTAAATTTTGCTGAATCTTTTAAGGTGCCCCCTGCCCACCCAAGGCCCCTTCGTTGTCCTCTGCTGTCACAGACTAAGGAGGAGGGTGGTCTCTCTCTCTCTCTGGAAACTTTATTTAAATGCCCTCATCTCCGCCCTAGATGAAAGAGCCCCATCACCAACAACTCCTTCTTCTCCTTCCCGCCCTCAGGCCCAACCGCTTTCCTTGGCGCGCGCGTGCCTAGATCTCCTCAGGCCGCGGCGGCCTCATCTCTCGTTTCCCTCCTCGGAGCTGTTGGGGCTGAGGCGCCACGAGGGCAAGGGAAGAGCGGAGGAGGCCGAAGCGCCCTGCCCGCTGCGGGGCAGACGACGAGGCTGGGCCTAGCCGAGTGGGCCGCCATGGCGACAAGCCAGCTCCTCAGCTCGGGCGAGTCACTGTGAAGGGAACCTGCAAGGCCACTCACTGAAATAGACCCTTTCTCTGTGGGGTTTTGTGTGCTTGACTATGGGGATTATGGCTCGAGGGTCATTTTTCCTCTCGAAGGTGACTAGCCTCCCCCCCCTTTCTCCAGAGGATGTGCCCATGGGCAAACCACTAAACGTTAGGCCACGCTTTTGTAACCACTGCCCCGGGAGTAAGTGCCATTGATCTCAATGGGGTTTTTTATCTGAGTAGACGGGGATAGGACTGTGCTTTAAGGATTCTGCCCCCACCCGCCCCCTGCTTTCATCCAGAGGGATTAAAATAACAGAATTACTGCCTTCAGAGCTGGCACTTTGCGTTGGGGAATTGTTATCATCATCATCATCATCATAATCATTTATTAAATTTGTATTCCGCCCCTTCATCCAAAGATCACAGGGCAGGTTGCAACTTCAAAATACAAAAGGAGAACACAAAATGTGTAACGAACCAACACACACACCCCTACCTCCCACAAACACCTTTCAAAGACTTTAGAATATTTCTTTCAGCCAAAGGCCCTGGTTATACAGAAACGTTTTTTGCCTGGTGCTTCAATATATGTTATAATCCCACTATTTTGTTGTTGCTCAAGTGTGTTTGATGAGGAACGAGGCATCTCTGGAAGGAGGTGTTGAATTATGGGATTAGGGGTTTAGGCCGCATCCTTTGGGCGCATGCGTCCACAAATCCCATTGTGTTCTGTAGGTTTGTTTTTTTTTAATGTCTTAGTAGTTGTGCCAAGGACTGTTTGCTACATAGGGCCTCAGTGGATCTCAGCAAAGCCTTGCGACATGGCAGTGGGTATGCCGCTTAACAGCATCCTAGATAAGTTTTGAAACGGCTTAGTATTTGATTGTTATGGTAATGATGCATTGATTCTGTCGTAAGCATATTTACATGGAAAAGTGGCTTACTAATTTTAATAATAATAATAATAATAATAATAATAATAATAATAATAATAATCCTTGCTTCAAGGAATATTCTTAGTTTTAGATTTTATGATTTATGTGTTTTCCATTTGGTTGTGTACTTTTTGATGTGTTTTATTTATTGCTTAAGACTTTTGTTATGTTGGTAACTATGTAAATCTTGTCAGGTTGTAAGCTGCCTTGAGCATTGCTTTAACCATGGAAAGATGGCATACAAATAAAATGATGATGATGATGAAGATGTTTACAATTTAAAATAATTGGGGAGTGCATGTAGACATTTTAAAAAGCATTTTATATGGGAGGGGTAATAATCCTGTTCTGAAATTTTGTAGGGAATTATGGAGAAAACTATGGCAACGGGATGATCATGTGTATGTACTCTTTAATCAGTATTTTAGTGTGTGATTGTTTATGTTTTCATGTTCCTCTTTCATTCCTTTTGGAACTAAGGCAGTGTATACATGTTTAATGTAAAGTAAGCAAATGAAATGCCCTTTCACAAGCATCCTTGCTAAACCCTGGGACATAAAAGGTGGCACATTAATTCATCTCCGCCGTTGAATTGGGGAGGAATCGCCCCCTCCCCAGTAAAAGTGGACAGGTGTGTGCTTGCATACACCTAACTCTTCTCCCACCCATCCCTTTTCAAGACTGGTGGTTTCCAGCAGTGCCCTCATTGCAGCATCTCTCCTCCTCCAATGACTTTTGTTGGGAAATGCCCTCCCTTAACCTTTCTCCCAAATCCTCCTTTTCCCCAAATGGTATCAGGAAGAGAAAAGCCAAAAGGATCAGGTGTGTGTCCGTGCGTGTGTGTGTGTGTGTGGCTGTAGCTCACGCAACCAGCCTTAAAAAAAAAAAAGCTAACTCCCAATAGCCCTCCTTCCTCCTCCCACAAGAATCCCTCCTCCCTCTCTTCTTTCTCATTCAAACGCAGCAACTCCTGTTGTGTCAGTTTTTATCTTCTTCCTACCACCACCAACAGCCACCGCTAGGCAGAGGAAGATCAGCAGCAGGTAAAAGAAACCTCCCTCCCCCCTCTTAAAAAAAAGCACCCCATTTTAAAGGTCTCGTCGTTATGCTATATTTCTTCCTCTTTCTTTCCACCCCTCCCACCCACCAAAAGGGAGGAAGATAAATAGATGAGGAAGGGGAAGATTAGCCTCGCTTCCTCTAAACTTCTTGCTGTGTGTGATTTCTGCCTCGTCTCTTCTGGCTTGCAGCCTCTCTCTCTCTCTCTCTCTCCCCCTTCTTTCTCTGCCATCCAAGTAGAGGTTTGAAACTTCCATTAGAGACATAGGTATTTGTTTTCAATACTCGATATGTCGATCTTGAGGAGGAGGAGGTGGGGGGAAGAGGAAGGATCTTCTTTGTGAGTCAGGGATGTTCCTGGAGGAAAGGTTTGCAATGTGTTTTGCTCATGGTTTGGGGAGGGGGGGCGCGGGTGGAGGGGGGGCGCTTCAGATTTGCTAATGAAAAGTTTATTGATCCGTTTTTGTCAGTTTCATTTTGAATGCTGCTTCTGCGGAATCTAATCTGCCCCGGGGCGTTGCAGAGTTATTTCTCCCCCACCTCAAATTGAGTGTGTGTATACAGTATATATATATATATATATATATATATATATATATATATATGTGTGTGTGTGTGTGTGTGTACACAATTTTTTTTAAAAAAAAAGGGGAGTGGAAAAGGAAGAGCTGTGGCTCTTCAACAACAATAGACTTTGCTAGGAGAGGAGGAGAATACAAATTCATTAAAGTGTGTTTGGTGATGTGAACTGACTTCCGTATACTGATACCTTACCTATATATGGGTAGACATTAATTATTGGCTAATCGGCTTCACTTTGGGTGTGTTAGGATTTGTGCAGTTGAAATAAACAAAAACCTATTCGCCAAAAGCAGTCATTCGACACGCAGTCCCGTGTGCCCACCCCTCCCCTCCCCTCCCCCATTATAATGTATGCTGTGTGTGAATCGCCTTGTGAGTATCAGAATCGAAGTGTTAAAAAGAGTTTCTGAAGTGGTGGCCAGCAAAATTTCTGTCTTGGGTTTCTAGCTTGAAGGGCTTTTGGATGTTCGAATAACTTCGGCATTGTGGTTCAGATGGAGTGTTTGCAAAGGAAAACAAAACGAAAAGGTTCCTTGTGGTTATTTTTTTGTCCTTCCTAAAATGACCTTGAAAGCTAAAATATACACATCGCTTCTGATGGGTGGAAAGGGTGGGGGGGCTGAGGGGCGAGTAGAAGAAAGAATCTAGCATATAGCCAAAAGCAGAAATAGGAACTTAATCATGTAGATGAAGTGAAATCTTTTACAGAAGAATGTGAAAAGGGAAGTTTCTGCATGTGAAGGGAACAGAAGGAAATAACACACTTACAAATATGTCGTGGGGGGGGGAGAGAAGAGTCATATCATTCTTCACAATGTATTAGGCCTTGAGAAGCTTGCCTGATATGATCAGGAAGGCAGGGAAATAAAACGCCTAACTACACACTGAATAGCAGGCATTGACTTGCTGACCACTTCTGTTGGCAGCTAGGGGCTGGTTTTTGTGTCTGCAAAGGTATCTGAGCACAGTGGCTCTTATAACAATGGCTTGCAAATGTTTTCTCTCGCCATGTTTTGTTACACTTCAGGGGGTCTTCTGTAGATTTGGGACTTGAGATGCCTTTTTTAAAAAAAATATGTTATGACTTCATGATTAGTTGTTTTCTGGATCATCATGAAAGGATTGGCTCACATAAGTAGGTTAAACTGCTTTCTTTGGAGGTGGGGGAGGGAAAGTAGGTGGAGTTTGATCCTCTCTTCTCCCCCCCCCCACTAGTTTTATGTGAATTGATGAGTCAGTATTTAAGATGTGCAATAGGCATGCCAGCTTGTGATGGGACATCAGTTACTTCTTTTTATTAAGAACTCCCACTTGAGAGAATACTAAAATGTATATGTTGCATGGTTAATAAATCTGGAGGTGGGGGAAAGAGAGAGAGGAGAATTCCCTTGGTTTTCTTGAAGTGATGCTACTGTTGAGGCTTTATTCAGATAATCATCATGCATAACAAACAGCTGTAGCTGAGAAATATTTCAGTGGACTATTGATTGATCTGACATACCAAGTTATATTCCCTTCTGCAAAGTTTGAGTCGTTGATTTCAGTTTCATTGTGGTTGTGTGTGCATACATTGGATTCCTTTTTGTTCTTTGGAGAGAAAGAAGAGTGTAAGCCTGTTTGGAAAAACTTAGCATGTACATATAGCTATTTGATAATAGTGGTTTTTTAAAAATATAAAATAAAAATGTATAAGGTTGATTCAATTATGTCTTCATCGCTTTGGAGCTGCTTGAATGACTTGACATGAGATTAGGTGCAACAAAAGAGAAGGCAGGGGAACAACAGCTGCCTTCCAGTTCTGAGGCACTATTGCTCTTAGCAGGAAGGCATTTTATCTTTTAGTGCTGTGTTGTCAGGTTTAAATGTTAAATATTTATATTCCTGTGAAAGGTTGTTAGACTACACTTGTGTGTTAAAAAAAAAAGCACACACACACCATGCATTTACTAGAGCCTTAAAAAGAAAAAAGATGACTTATATTTCTGCCTTTACCACAGCCTGTTTAAGATCTGATGTTAAAATACCAAATCATCCCAACTTTTAGCTCAACTTATTTTTTGGCTCTGAAAAGAGCCACCACTAGTTTGTACTTGCTTGGCTGCTGTGTGGTAAGAACTTTTTAAGGTGTGGCTTTAATGGCAGCTGACGATTCTTGCTGAGAAACAAGTCTTATTTTTGGTACGTGTCTCTATGGAAATTCTATGTGAGGCAAAATTGCAACATTGAATGTCCCCTTTAAAGGGAAAAAAAAAGATTTTATATTGTCCACTGAATAGTTCTTCCTTAAAGGAAATAAAGACCAGTACTGAAAACTTCCTCCCAAGTTACATATACAGCATACATATTTTAAAGTATGGGTGTCTTTTCTATAAAGTTTCAACATAAATAACTTTTTCATGACCTATAGATGTTGGGGTTTTCTGGTTGGTGTTGTTGTTCCAAACCACAGCATGTCTTATAATGGTAACCCATTTTAGAGTAGATGGGAAGCCATTTCCTGGATTTGTTTTAATTAAGCAGTGTTATTTATAAATTTGTGGTTCTTAAAAAGTGCCATAGTGAAGGGAGGCTATATTTATAGGGGTTTTAAGAGGATTGCTACTGACTCCTTCAACAGAAATTGCATTAGATTCCAGATGGAGAGCTATTGGGTAGCTTGGAATATCTCCTTTGTTTTGGTGGAGACTGGCAAGGGGAGGGGGTGGCGATATGACTGAAAAAAAGGTACTCTGCACTATTCTTTCACATTTGTTTGTTTCATTTAGGGCTTCTTTGAAAAACTCTCTGCCTCTCAAACACTTAGCTGCATTACTTAAGAGTGTTGCTATACTTTGCATCAATGAAATTGCACGGTTGAAGATTTTATTTGCCTCCTATATGTACAAGATCAAAGTGAAAAGCACGTCCCTGATCCTAATCGTGTTGCTTGAAAGTAAGTCCTACTGCTATTAGTGTGGTATAATTCCAAGCAGTATGTTCAGCATCAAGGTGCAAATTATTGCATGTTTGCTTGGAAAAATAGTTGAAAATGAAATTACAGATCTCATTTGACTTTCAGTATGGTAGCAGCTGTGTAAAACTGAAACTTTGTAATTAGGATTTTATAGGCCAGGGAAGTACTGTAGTGATAAATATGGCCTAGTTTTAAAAATATCTAAAAGAGAAAATTCTCACTACTTCTGTGCCAGGTATGGCGAAATGTTATTCATACCACACACAAAAAAACACACTCTATTGGTGAATGAAGGACTTCTTTCAGCTCTTTACCTATAGTTAAAATGACTAAGCTTTCCTATCTTTAGGCAAATTTGAAAGAGAAGCTTGACCTTTGAGTTTACTTGCTTCCACAGAGATTCAGATGATTAAATAAGTAAGGCTATTGGACTGTCATTTACTTATTTATCTCATGTCATCCTTTCCAGTTCAACCTACTATTTAAATGTAGAAAATCAGCAAAATTTCTGCCACAGCAGGGCTGCCATTACTAAGCTTACAAGCCCTCCTTTATTCTCATTCTCTTGATTAGAACATCAGGAGTCCAATACAATTGCCCCCCTTCACATAATTACATTTGCTACGCCTTTGGCATAAAAGATATTCATTCATTATGAACACTTTTTGAGCATTTTTAATGACACTCAAATCTGTGTAAGGCTCCAGCAAATAAAAATTAGCAGATGAATAATACAGAAAAGTATAAAAAGGTTGGATCCTATCACTGGAGATTTGTAACCACTTACAGTATTTGAATTGGGGAAAACATGTTTGTATAATGTCTTGTGTAATCAAGTTTTTGGACCTTAGAAATTGGGTGAGTAATCTGCAGCTTGTGTGTGTAAATGTGGATTAACAATTGTAAATTTAAGTTTACTAGCCCAAAGCTAGTGAGCTGGTAGCATTTATATTCTTGTTCCCAATCTGGGGCAAACGTGGTGGTTCTTTAAAAGTATGTTTTGTAGTTTATCAGCAGTTAGTTGAATTCTTGGTTTAACCTTTTTAAAATTGGTTCATAATAAAGTTAAATAACGTTTTGCTCTAAGCAACGAATCCTTGGGTCTGTCCAAGAATTGGAAGAATTCCACAAGTAGGAATTTTCTCCTTTTTTCAACCTCCTGAACTGTTCACATCAACTATATCAGCAGCTTTAATTAGCATCCTTGAATGACATAGCAAAAGAGGTTAGTAAATAGCATTTTGTGTTGCCTGTTTGTGTATGTTAGAAAAGTGGGGGTGGGGGTAGCACATAAATTGGCTCATGAGGCATTCCACTTTTGGGGAAACAATTTCTGGCACTTTGGATAATATGACAAATCCCTTTTTGCCAGATGAGTCTCTTAGTCAGTTGCGTTGATCAAAAGGACCTCATTTCTCCACTTTAAATATTGAAAATAACAGTCCAGGTTTAGAAAGCATAGATCAGGGTCAGCAACCTTTTTCAGCGGTGGGCTGGTCCACCATCCCTCAGACCATGTGGTGGGCCGAACTATATTTTGGAAAAGGAAAAAAAAGAATGAATTCCTATGCCCCGCAAATAACCCAGAGATGCATATTAAATAAAAGCACACATTCTACTCATGTAAAAACACCAGGCAGGCCCCACAATTAACCCAGAGATGCATTTTAAATAAAAGGGCACATCCTAGTCCTGTAGAAACACGCTGATTCCCGGACCATCTGTGGGCCGGA